TCACCCAACCATGCATGTCCACCATCCTATCACACTCCTCTTACACTCCACCTCCCCTCATCCACCACTCCTCCGAGGCACCATCAAGGAAGCTGTAGTGCCTCTCACCGTGTGCGTGATGCAATGGGGATGCAAACCGTCGCCACAATTGCTCACCTGCTCTCACCCAACCCATCGCCTAACCGAAAACCACCAACGAGCGAGAACGTGAGGCACAAGACCCTCCACACCGCATGACTTGCAAACTCCTGCCTACGTCGAGAGAACGCCTTCACCAACAGTGTTGGTTGTGGAGGATCCTGCACTACACTTGCACATGTGACATGCTACAGGACGAATGCCAATGACATTCGCCTCCATGCACCTCATCCTCGTTAGCCTCGTTTGCCTGACTCCGAGGCTGCACCAAGAGCGAGGATACCACCGTCAGTGTTTCATTTTCGCTTGTTCCTCCACTGCTACACCCACGTCATCGGTGCAAAAGAAGAGTGCTCCAAACAAATCAGCTGCTCCTTTATTCCTCCCTGACTATGTCTCTGATGCGGGTACACTTGAGTGTTTGATGTGCATAACATCGGGAGATCTCCGCCCCCAAACTGAAGGACAGTACAGAATTGCTCATGGCACTTGACGGTAAGCAAAAGTAAGGCCTCGTGGAGGCATTCTTGTCGTGTCCCATGTACCCGCACACTCACAGATGCCATTGCTTTTTGCACTGGTGAATGATACATCAATTGGGTGAGGCAGCACCCTTGCCACAAGGATACATTCATGCAAGTGGTTTAAGCTAATTTGTAGTGCCATTATTGGAGCATTTTGTGGTAGACAGCAAGTGAATTGATGCCTCCTGTGAGGAGGTGAGAGGCGTCTACAACAACTGCACCACGTGCCTGGCCCAGATGGGACCCCCAAGCTTGCATACAACGGGCGCCACTCAATCCTCTTTTTCCTCTTTCCCTTCCCCACCACCCTCCAGTCTTTCCTCCCATGAAAACACGTAACACACGTGTGCTTGGCCGAGTTTGGGTGAATTAAGTGCAAGCAGGTGTGGTGATCGACAAAAGATGGGCATTTGTTACAGTGCAAAGCAACTTCTTCCTTCTGCTACTTCTGCCTCCTCCTCCTCCTCCTCCGCCTTCTACTTCTCTCAGCCTCAATTTACTGCCTCATAAGTTACCGAAACTTTGTTCATCCTCCCAATGCTACACGTGGTCATCAGTCATAAAACGAACCTCAATACTTTTCCCTTTGGGCTTCAAAGTTTGAGGATAAAATTGGAGGCTCATATTTTTGCACCAAATAAAAGTAACTGGCAGAACCTAATGATAAAAAGACGTTAAAACGCATGAAGCGGTGTATAGGAGGCGTTTGTGAAGTAGAAATGAATATAGCTTGTTAAGATCAACCAGTATGGTAGTCTTCAGATGTCCAATCAAAATAGATTAAGCCAATAAAATTACAGAATGACAGAAAATGTTTTGTCTTGGATGGGATTCCGACTAAATCACCTGCGAGACAGTATGTCGCGGAATAACCTTTTTGGCTTGATCAAGGTTGAAGATGAGGCAGTAAGGAAATGATGAGATGTATGGGAACATCTGATTTCATTCGCCTTCTCTTCTTATGGGCGTCAAATCAACACAATGAGAGCTATGCGGTTGAATAGCAGAAGTGACGGATTTTGAAGTTGTCCTGCGTATCATGGTGTTTAATTTAGGTTTGGATGCAACTTAAATTTGTTGTCATAGAAACCTCCAAACCCAGGATGATTAAGGGCACAAGAAAGTGGAGAATTGATTCAGTCACACTTGAGTGAATCACCAAAACCAAAACTAACTTCCTAAAACCACTTCTAGACGGTTGGACAACGAATTCCGATGAAATTAATTCAAACCCAAAGACAATGAGGTGGAAGAGCACGAATTCAAGCCAAGATTTTGGTACTTAGAGAATAACAAAGTGGTTTAAATAATAAAAGGGAATGGAGGGACCGCTGACAGTTGGTATCGTGCAGTGATGTCTGTTGACCCCTTATACTAACTCTTTTGTCCCCTAAATAAATAAATAAGTTGCCCTTTTCGAATGTTATGCAAGTGCTTAAGTGTTAATGGGCTGTCTGATTACTTCAGGTTAGGCAGAATTGACGAAGGTGCTGCAATTAGATGACTTATGGAAGGACGGCACCTTCCCCAAGCAGAACTTTACACTTAGGAATGTATATTATTACGGGCAAAAAGGGAGATGTTGATAAGCAAAATTAGTTCACATTAAATGATATCTAGACTTCCGCATCCGATGGCGAACACGATGACACGATTGGCGGCCTCTCTAATGTGTCCAATGGTTGGAGGCGAAGGGGAGCCGGAGGGGAGCATTTTGTGCACTGGATTTGCATTGGCTCGTCTGTGGGTGGTCTTCGGACAATCAGTTTGGCTTCCTAATTTATGACCTATACCACAGAAAAATGGGACAAGTCTAATTCAAACTTCCGTTTTCTCTTCATTGTTCAAATATTTTAGGAAAGAGCTGCTGGTTACTCCCTATGAGATAAGTTATTATGATTGCTTGTAAATTTTGAAGAAGTGAATTTAAGATGTAACCAAAGTTATGCATAACAGAAGAATTTGATAGACAAAACAGTGTTCGCTTATTTGAGTAGACCATTGTAATGCTTTGCTTTTCCGACTTCCAATATCGGTTTCAATCCCTTTAGTGAATATATCGCCCGATTTATGGAATTGTTCCCCAATCTCTCGAAGCATAAAATTGATATGCACATTTTAACGCACTGAGCCGTCTCCTATGGTAGAAGAAGGTACTAATTGAGGCTAAAATACATATATTTAAGGAAATGGGAAGGGACGGGATTTAGCTGGACTCGAAGTTCACATAACATCAAAAATAAGCAAAACAGATACTATAGCGAAGGCCAATCTTATAGGTAGCCAAATAAATTAAGTATTACAACCGCTATGACAAATGTTACATATCAATAAATCTCAGGGGTAAGCGACAACATCTCTAAAATGCCCAAAAGTTTGCTTAAACCTAACTTAAGTTAACTACAAATCGTGACCAAATATTATCATATGCAGACAGCTTTTTGACTTTACGGCCCACTGTTAGCAGAAGTGTGCGTTAACAAGTTGGAAATTCTATGAAGTGTATCCTTTGATAGTACGGGAGGTTGTAATGACTTTAACAGCTGCTGCCTTTATTCATCGAAAAAATCTA